AAGCTGCGCAACTTGGATCGTTTAGCGGCCGGAGAGCAGATCTACTCCGTTCGTGAGGATATCCACCAGCGGTTACGCGCCGCTGCGCGTATCTCCCAGGATCTTCTTTGTTGCTCCGATCACGCACGGATGACTATACCCATGGACATGCACACGCGAGTATCACGACAAAATGGTCGAGATAAGCTATGATCCTTAATGATCTTACATACTAAGAATCCACTTAAGTAACTCTAATAGCTCGACACTTATCATCTTATTACGACCGTTATAACAATAACACTTGTTCATCACTGGCAATTGTTTGTTGATATTTTCTACGGATTGCAATCACGGATTGTAGAATAGGATATTAACGGACTTGGTGTAGCACTTGATTGAGTCTCTTTAATACAAGGCAGACTGATATTCGGATTTTTATTCCTGCTATTGCTAATTATACAATTGCTCCTAATTGTATAATTACTGTCAGTGTATACATACGTTCGAAGAATATAATAGCATAATGCAAAATTTATAAAATTGATTAGGGATTGTTTTACGAGGCATCGGAGAATAAAAGACGTTCATTGCCAGTGGATTTTTTCAAGGGAGAGCAGTACAATGCCGCCTGGAAGAAGTGCGTATCGCGTCTACTAATCTGTGAGATTCTGGAGTAGAATATTGTCGGACCAGGTGTAGCATTTGATTGAGTTTCTTTAATATAAGGCCGACTTCGAAGTTGTATTCAAATTTTCTTCCTGCCACTGCTAATTATACAATCGCTCCTAATTCTGTTATTATCACTGTCAGAATATAAGATTGAAGAATAATAGCATAACGCAAAATTTATAAAATTGCTTAGGGATTTTACGAGGCATCCGGGTATAATGGATGTTCCGAGTTGCAGGTGAATTTCTTCAAGAGAGCCGCAGTACAATGCCGCCGGGAAGAAGTGCGTATCGCGTCTACTAATCTGTGAGATTCTGGAATAGAATATTGTCGGACCAGATGTAGCATTTGATTGAGTTCCTTTAATATACGGTCAACTTCGGATTTTTATTCAAATTTTTATTCTTGCTATTGCTAATTATACAGTTGCTCCTAATTCTGTTACTATCACTGTCAGTATGCACGTTTGAAGAATATAATAGCATAATGCAGAATTTATAAAATTGCTTAGGGATTGTTTTACGAGGCATCGGAGTATAATGGATGTTCCGAGTTGCAGGTGAATTTCTTCAAGAGAGCGCAGTACAATGCCGCCGGGAAGAAGTGCGTATCGCGTCTACTAATCTGTTAGATTCTGGAGTAGAATATTGTCGGACCAGGTGGTAGCATTTGATTGAGTTCCTTTAATATACGCGTCTACTAATCTGTTAGATTCTGGAGTAGAATATTGTCGGACCAGGTGCAGCATTTGATTGAGTTCCTTTAATATACGGTCAACTTCGAATTTTTATTCAAATTTTTATTCTTGCTATTGCTAATTATACAGTTGCTACTAATTTGGTTACTGTCACTGTTAGTATATACATACGTTTAAAGAATATAATAGCATAATGCAAAATTTATAAAATTTCTTAGGGATTGTTTTACGAGGCATCGGAGAATAATGGATGTTCCGAGTTGCCAATGTATTTCTTTAAGAGAGCGCAGTACAATGCCGCCGGGGAGAACTGTGCATCGCGTCTAGTAATCTGTTAGACAACCCCATTATTTGCTCGCTTACCCACTTGAGTTGCATTAGGGAGAATTTTCACGGAGCTCTTCCATTATGCACGTACGTCCGCGAGAGTCGATTGCCGCATTTAATGTCGAGAGAAACATTTCTTGCTCGTCGATAACACGAGGAGGCGAGTCCGATCGTCATGACGCCGGCTGAGAAATGCAGATTCCCGACGAATCGCTCGCGCGTAAACTGGTGCTCGTATACGTAACGTTTTACGACATCGGGGGATGCGCGTATAAATAATCGCGTGTTGACCGGCGTTAAAATGTAACGTAAAATTTTATCATTCGGACGGTAATACGTTTCTTCCTCGTCGCGTTCACGCGCGATTTGAAAGCGCTGTATAATTTTCAGGGACGTTCGATCGCGTACGGAGATTTCCTTACGTATGTAACACGACGATTTGCCGCAACCGTCGCTCCGATTACGGTTTCAAGCGAAGCATTTATTGGCGAGGCACTTATTTCCTGCATTATTTCAGCCTGCGCTAACGCCGCTGGTAATCATTAAAATGTATTCGCGGAAATTGCGTGATATTTTCGAATCTCTTCGTCTCGCAGTTTCGCTAAAGCCGGTAGTATCGTGTCTTATAAATAATACCGTAACGGAGTCAACTCTGTGGTAATTTCTATTTTATTGGGTTTAATTTTTTTACTGCTCGCTACGGAAATAACATGTATTTATTAGGAACCGCTGCTGCTGCTTTCGATCGTCTCGACGGATGTTTTTCTTCTCTTGACGATCTTCTTGCTGCTGCACTTGATTAAGAATTTTAACTCTTCTACGAGTTCGTCTTTAAAGGATACCTGTAAAACACGCAATTTCTGTAGCTTTCAAAATAATGTCGTAAAGTAAATATAAAAATTTTAATTGGACGCAGTTCAATACGGAACCAACTTCAAGATTTTTTCCGCTAGAGCAAATTTCGCGAAACATTAGATGTAAATTCTACGCTATAGATTCTACGCTAACGTTATCTCAAATATAATGACCAAATTATAATCCTCTCAAATACAATTCCACGTGTTGTATGCGTTTTGTCTTACATTAGGAATAAAATTCTGTGCCAATGTTATTTCAAATATAATGACCGAATTATAAATCGTCTTACTCAAATATAATTCTACACGGAGAGAATTTTCTTTTAAAATTTATTCTGAAAATATTGTAATCGTGGGACAGCATGGCATTTCGAAGAACTTTATATGAGAGTTTATTTAAAGTTTACCATACATTTTACTAGTAAAAACTCTCATAAAGTTCTTCGAAATGCCATGTTGTCCCACGATTACACGATTTTCAGGGTAAATTTTAAAAGAAAATTTTCTCTCTCCGTGCAAATGTTGTGTATGTCTTTTTTCACAGATAACAGATGGATCATTTATACATAATGTAGGCCTTTATGATCACTTTGCAACACAACTAACATTCATGAAAATTGGTTCCTAACTGCATAGCTGTATCGTATTCAATTAGGTATTAAACATGTAATTACGCCATGTCTGATCGCAACGTTTCGAATTTGCCAAAGAAATGTCCATCCCGCAAAAATCCAGGACAACGCAATGCCGCTTATCATAATTACAAATACTCCGCCGACGTCCTCAAAATTCAGTGGATTCACTTGAACCTTCTCTTTTTCCTATAAAAATAAAAATTTCAATAATAATGTTTCATGTCAACGTCGTTAACGAAATGATCAGTTAAGGTGTCGCGTTGGATTAAAGTTTGCGGAAGCTAAATGTGAATTTTTCCCTCGAAGTCGCCTTGCGTAATAGCGTAAAATTCATCCAAAGTGAATCTCTTCCTAAATCTCGAAGCGTACACGCTTCGGCTTTAACTTTGGCTTACTTGCTTTCCAAACGCGCGCTGGTACTTCTGAGTTGCTATGTCGTCTTTACACGTACGAACTAAATTGGTGAAGTTTAAGTCAGTCCAACTATATAAATGCAGTTAAATAAAGACAGACGTGAAGTACTTCGCCTGTGCGTTTTATCTGTTCGTTTATTCAAGCAAAAGAAGGAAACGAGATAGAAGATGAGATGGAAAGTAAAGGATTAATAAAAATAAATAAAATAAGTGGGCGAGAGAAAGAAAGGAACAGATTTTGAAAAATTTTGATGAAAATAATCACGTAATCATTTTGCTAAAAAGTATATAAAGTTTTATTATGATTAATTTTAATTAATGTTATACGAATAATTTGTAATAAATTCAGTAATAATCCGTTTAGATTTAAGCTTAAATGACATTTATTGTTAAAATCATTAATTTGATCTGGTGATTTCTCAGTCTTGTTCGATTTGTAAATTGCGTCAGATTTTTGCAGTTTTTGCAGTAGCACATTTTGTAAATTTTTTTCATTTATGTATAAATCCTCTTTATATAATGGACTATTTTTAAGTATAAAAACATTATTAATATCTTAACGCAGTCAATTTTTCGGATAAATCTATCAGTTTCATGTGTCGTCTATTAACGACTACACGGAGAGAATTTTCTTTTAAAATTTATCCTGAAAATATTGTGAGACAACACGGTAAGTCGAAGAATTTTATGAGAGTTTCTTGAAATTCTACCACCTATTCCACTAGTAATTATATACTTACAATATAGGTACATTTTACTAGTAAAATGTATGGTAAATTTTCAAAAACTCTCATAAGGTTCTTCAAAATGCCAGGTTGTCCCACAGTCACAAGATCGTCTGGATAAATTTTAAGAGAAAATTCTCTCCGTGTTCGCATAGATCTTTTTATCTTGGGTCATGCCATTCTCCTAACTCTTAATTAGTTCGAAGAACTAGTATTAAAAGAAGTCATAAGAAAAAGAGAAAAGTAATTATTCGGAGAAGGCGCATGTTATAAAAATTGTGCGGTACCTAGTACTTATTGTTAATCAGAATTGCACTCGTACGGTTTACAAAATGTTAATCACACAATTATATATCTAATGTGATAAGGCGTTTTGGGGATTATGCAATGTTCGACGTAATCTATGTAATTTTTCTTTCAACATAACGTGAGAACATAGATATCATACGTCGCATGTATCACCGCCTCGTTTCTGTTTCCACCATTTCTTTTGTAGCTCGCCGATCACACCGTTTTCCTGCAGTCTCAGTATAGCGCCACTTAAATCTACACGGTAAGGCGCATCTGTCACCAGAATTATTTCATTAAAGGTAAAATTACTTAACTGTTTCGAATCGAAAATAGCGAATGTGCACCCAATAAAGAGCAATTGGCAGTAATAAGTTTGAGACATCTAATATCGTACACCATATTATTGTATAGGGTAATAGTTTATCAAGTAAGCTCTCCACTCTGTTAAAACCCGACGGAATTAGTTCTCTGACGTATAGAGACAATGATACGAAAACTAATTCAATATCTCGTAAAATAAACAAATTTTTTAATCACGATTTTATTTGATTTTAATTTTTCTTTAAATGTACGGTGCTACTTTTGCAGAATCATAATTTTTCCTTTTTCCGGTTTTTCTGCAACACATCAGTACCGCAGTTTAACATAAAATAAATTTCGAAGAGAATGCAAGGGATATGCGACATAAAAATGTGAATTCCTCTCTTTTCTACAAGTGTACAAAGTTAGGTGTACGATATTAGGTGCTTTCACTCTAATCCTATAACAATTTGTCTGAGTTATTGCTGAACGACCGACCTTTCCTCATCGCTATTCCGTAGCTTTTGGAATCTAAAAGTCCACCGATCTGCGTTACGTTACACTTTCTTTGTTTGATGTATTCAATTGATGAAGATTCCATGAGGTACGCGTAATTTTCGTTCTGCACCTTCCACACGCCATCCTCGTTACTCTCCATAAGTACTTCGTCAGCATGAGCCTTCATGTAATTATACATAATTTCATACGGTTCATGCGAGGAATCCTGCAAAACGAGATTGACCGCTTCTGAGCCCACTAGACATTTTCACAAATAATAACGCGAAATATCGGCAGTCAATACGCGATATCCTAATCAACACTCGTCTACCATCTCTACTTCTTGCCTTTGCGGATTATGTCGCGTATCGCTCACCTGAAAGAACGAGAACGTCGAGCCGTTAATTTTTGCGCCGTACTTGATTTTTTGTTGGTAAGCCAGTTCTTCCGCCACTTGGAAAGACCACACGACGGATTTCGTGGATAACGCGGCTGCCAAGTTGGCGATATACGTTGTCACAATGATCAAAGTAAAGAACCACCAAGCAACAGCCAAAGTTCTTGTTGAAATTCCCCTGAAATGCACATTACAAGTTTTTCGATCCCTTTCTTTGTTTTAAGGTGACGTCTTTAAACAATATCAAATGTCTTGTGTGCAGAAATGTTTTAATTATGAAAGAAACACAATTTAATATAGGGCTCTTATAGCTCGTCAAAAAATTTCAACGTTATAATACACATAAAAAATGTTTAAATAAAGATATTTTTCAATATAGTTTTCAAACATATCCTAAAATAAAACTTTCTAAAAGAAATAAAACTTATATTCTCCGGTCAGTACAAAAATTTGGGTATGGTCCTCTTGACAAAAACAAGGATCCCTAAATTAATTTATAGCAGAAAATCACACAGTTGAAAAATTTGTGTTCAATTTAACAGATATTACATGTCCAAACGGTCCACATAAATTTTTGTGTTAATTTAACATAATATGGATACGTTAAATGAACACACTAGTACTTTGTTAATATTTAACACAAAATATAATAAATGCAAATCTCAAAATAATTTGAAATAAATTTTGTGTAAAATTGACATATTTTCAATGACAAAATAAATTTTAAAAACTGTAATTTTTACATTTTACAGATGTAATAAATTAAATGACGGTTCGAAATCACTTTCACTCGTGTTATACAATAGAATAAAATCGTTTTATTCTGTAAATTTTAACAGATAAATTTTGTTACTAATAAAATAGAACATATGCATTGTGTCAGATTAAAAAATGAGTACACATTGTGTTGTTTTAACATTTCTTTTCAGTTATTTTAATAATTTGAGGTCAATTAACACAAGAGCAATATGTTAAATTACCACATGAATGTGTTGAACATTTAAGACAAAAGTTTTTACCGGCATTTCTTTTAAGAAGAAAACACAAATTTTCCAACTGTGCATTAGGACGACAATGTTCATCGCATAAATTTAGTGTTACTTTTCAAACGTGCTGTTTAAATTCTACTATTATATATTTCGGCCAGTCACAGGGATCTACAAACCCCTTGACTTGCCTGCAGAAGTGTGGTGTGCTCGGATAAATTAGAATTAAAACCGACATGTATATACGAAGTGGACCATACTTATTAATCGCGCGCGTCCCAGTCGACTCTGGGCGATGCGCGCAAAAAGCTGCAGCGACATCACGTTCCATTGTGCGCTCAACAACTTGGTTGGTTTCATACAAGAAAAACATCCTCAAAGCACACTCCGCAGGCGAGGTGAAGTGAGCATCGCGACTCACGCGGGTGCAAATCCGGTAGGTGACTTCAAGATGGCCCCGATCACCAGAAACGGAGTATCCGTCAGAGTGTAGGGTGTTTCCAACACCTTTGGCTCCTTGATGCACGGATATGGATTGGTCCATTCCACGGGGCAGAGTTTTCCAATCACGAATAATAACGTCGTCACGGCGATGTACGCTCCGATGAGGTGCAGCCAAACGTCCTTCGAAAACGGCCCCAGAAAAGACAGATAGCCTGGTGGGGCTCTCGTGGGTGTCCTGTAGAGAACGCTTATGCCTGAAACATTATTTGACCGAAAATGTGAATTCTGGAATCTCGATTTACGGCTCATACTTGTCGATTACACTACGAATATATTGTGTACCATTTTTTACCTAAGTTCATAAAAGGACTCGTAAAATCCACAACGCTTTCTCTCGCAGACGTGATCGTCAGATCTGTGATCGCTAAATCCGCTTCCTTCAGGATTGGAAAAAATTCATGTTATACGTAGAAGATATTGGGTATACGATAAAATGCTAATATATCCGTTTCCTCTATCGATCACGCTATAGGTTTTTGCACGGCGAAATGTAATTTTGCTGTTGCAGCGAAACCGTCGCTGCATTCGATGTGACAACGATAGAATTTCGCTAGTACAACTAATTTCTTACTATCGTATCAAAACATATTCGGCGGAACAGAAATTACTTTGTTCTTTATAGTAAAATGATTTGCTTATTATTATGCAAAATTATTTTTAACTTTAATAAAATTAATAACTTTAACAAATCAGTTGCTGTCTATATTTGTAATAACTAATGAAATTTACTAAAGATGGCATAAATATGTTGTATTAGCAAATTATTTTTCTCCGTGTGTATCCTTTTAAGTTATTGGATTGTAAAATGAAGAATAAGGTGGAAACATCTTTTGAAAATATCAACTTAAGATGCAAAATTGATTTTATCGTAGTATTAGTGATAAAATTAATAATAAGTAATGGAATTCCTGAAAATTATTAAATTTTCTAACGGCGTATCTGCGAAGAGGCAACTGTTTTATCGATATAAGAACGCGTTGCTCTTGCATTGTATGTACGGTGGAAGGTAGCAGCACTACTCGCGAACGTAGTCGATTGAGTCGATATTCCACCTATATGGGATGAAATGAAAACGCAGAAGAATATCCCTTTGACTTACACCGTCGATTATTTTCCCCAGCATTCCATTCCATTTCTTGGTTACGTTATTAAACGATCCGTAAACATTGTCGGCCTGAACTTCAAAGGTATAATTAAATCCCAACAGCTTGCTCATTTCTTGAATTATATCTATCGCGAAGCCTTCGTATCGATCATTTCCAGTTATTACAGAGGCTGATTCTTTAAGCATCCCGTACGGATCTGTCTGGAATTTATTCCACTTTAATCTCTTGAGACCAGGTGGCCAATCTATATCTTGCAATATAGTGAAAATGTTAAAATGCTGAACGACGCTGTCTCTTTCTAAGGGGACAGTTAGAAAGAGACAGAGCTATTCAGTTTTTCTTATTCCTTTGTATCTCAATAATTTAATATGCAGATTACAAAGTATCTTTAATAATTTTTCCATATCACTAACAGAAAAAATTGTATCCGTTTTTTAAATTATTACTTAGGTCGTTTTTCAAGTGACAATTAATTGAACTTATTAATGTAATGTCTACGCTAGTGATTGGAACATACTAACGATATCACGACAAGAAAATGCTTATCGCGCAAACTCTTGTCGTCGTCTACTCCGGGAATTCTGTGTCCTGGCTGCCATTCAATACCGAAGTTCGTTTTCCATTTTCCGACTTTATACAGTCCTTCATTTCCTAGATTTACGATGTCTAGTTGGAATTCGCTTCGGAATCCGGCCGTGTCGAATCTTATCATACCGCTCAGTCCGTGCATTTGCTCCTGAATGAAAGGATACATACCGGTTTATACCGGATACA